AATTAATTTATTTTTTACAATTCAATCCCAGCTCCCCCTCCCTTCTCTACTCCCACGTCTCTCGTCTGTTCCTCAGAGAGGATGAGGCCTTCCCTAGGAAGTCTACTGTCTGTCCCATCATCTCATTGAGACTGGACCAAGGCAGCTCTCCACCCCCACACCCCTGTGTCTAGGCTGAGTAAGGTATCTCTCCATCTAGAATGGGCTCCACTAAGTCAGTTTGTGCATTAGTGTTAGATCTTGACCCACTGCCAGTGGCCTCATACATTGTCCCAGTCACACCATTGTCACCTATATTAAGGGAGTCTAGTTTGGTCTTTTTTTTTTTTTTTTGGTTTTTCGAGACAGGGTTTCTCTGTGGCTTTGGAGGCTGTCCTGGAACTCGCTCTGTAGACCAGGCTGGCCTCGAACTCACAGAGATCCACCTGCTTCTGCCTCCGGAGTGCTGGGATTAAAGGCGTGCGCCACCAAGCCCGGCTAGTTTGGTCTTAATGCCGGTTCCCCATTTGTCAGACCTGAGGCAGTGATCTCTCACTAGCTCGGGTCAGCTGATTCTGTGGATTTCCCCATCATGATCTTGACTCCTTTGTTTATAGTATCGCTCCTCCCTCACTTCAATTGTATTCCAGGAGCTTGGCCCATTGGTTAGTTGTGGATTTCAGCATCTGCTTCCATCTGTTTCTGGAAGAGGGCTCTAGCTTCTCTGGGGTTGTGGATTGTAGCCTGGGTATCCTTTGCTTTATGTCTGGTATCCACTTATGTGTGAGTCCCTACTATATTCGTCTTTCTGGTTTTGGGTTACCTCACTCAGGATGTTTTTTCTAGTTCTGTTCATTTGTGTGCGAATTTTAGGATGTCATTGTTTTCTTACCACTGAGTAGTACTCCACTGTGTAAATGTACCATGTTTTCCTTATCCATTCTTCAGTTGAGGGGCATTTAGGTTGTTTCCATGATCTGGATTGTACCTTGCATTCTTTCCCGCCAGCTGCCTGGGGCCCGCCACTGTCTCAGCCCCCAAATAACACACGAGACGCTATATTAATTATGAAGCTGTTGACTGTTTGCTATGGTTTCTTAATGGCTAGCTCTGATTATTAACCCATAATTACTAATATATATTTTTATATAAGGTCTTATCTTACTGAGGACACCTGACTCATGTGTCCTCCCTTCCAGGGATCACATGGCGACTCTCCACTCTTAACTACATTTCCCAGAATCTTCCTCCACTCCTAGTCCCACCTATCTTGCTTCCCTATTAGCCAACCATACTTTATTTATCAACCAATCAGCCAAAATATACACAGAAGGCCTTCCCCCATCACTGGCTATTACAAGTAGTGCTATGAACATAGTTGAGCAAATGTCCTTATTGTGTGAATGTGCTTCCTTTAGGTGTATGACCAACAGTGGTATTGCAGGGTCTCGAGGTAGGTTGGTGGCTAATTTTCTGAGAAATCACCCTCCTGATGTCCACAGCGGCTGTACAAGTTTGCATTCCCACCAGCAGTGGAGTAGTGTTCCCCTTTCTCCACATCCTCTCCAGCATAAGCTATCATTGGTGTTTTTGATCTTAGCCATTCTGATTGGTATAAGATGGTATCTATCTCAGAGTGATTTTGATTTTCATTTCCCTGATAAATAAGGATGTTGAGCATTTCCTTATGTGTCTTTCTGCCATTTGAGATTGTTCTGTTGAGAATTATCTGTTTAGATCTGTACCCCATTTTTTAATAGGATTATTTGGTAGTTTGATGTCTAGCTTCTTGAGTTCTTTGTGTATTTTGGAGATCAGCCATCTGTCAGATGTGGGCTCCCGTTCTGTAGGGAGCCATTTTGTCTTGTTGACCATGTTCTTTGCTTTACAGAAGCTTCCCAGTTTCAGGAGGTCCCATTTATTAACTGTTGCTCTCAGAGTCTGTGCTACTGGTGTTCTATTTAGGAAGTGGTCTCCTGTGCCTATGTATATATTTCCCACTTTCTCTTCTGTGAGGTTCAGTGAGGATGAGTTTATATTGAGGTCTTTGATCCATTTGGACTTGAGTTTTGTGCATGGCAATAGATATGGATCTATTTGCATTCTTCTACATGTTGACAGCCAGCTATACCAGCACCATTATTGAATATGTTTTCTTTTTTCCATTTTATTTTATTTTATTTTTTGGTTTTTCCAGACAGGGTTTCTCTGTGGCTTTGGAGGCTGTCCTGGAACTCACTTTGTAGACCAGGCTGGCCTGGAACTCACCAAGGTCCACCTGCCTCTGCCTCCCGAGTGCTGGGATTAAAGGCGTGCGCCACCAATGCCCTGCTTGTTTTTTTCCATTTTATATTTTTAGCTTCTTTGTCAAAAAGTAGGTGTTCCCAGGTATGTGGGTTGATATTGGGGTCTTTGATTCAATTCCATTTGTCTACATGCCTGTTTTTATGCCAACACCAAGTTGTTTTCATTAGTATAGCTCTATAGTAGAGTTCAGAATAAGGACCAACACTTAAAAGTTGTCCTCTAACAAACTAATACAAGGTGTGGCATACCTTCCCCCAGTAGATAGATTGATAGATACAAAATACGAATCTTTAATAATAATATTTTAAAAAGCCAGCATTGTGTTAACACTGTAATCCTAGCACTTGGGAGATCGAGGCAGGAAGATAAAGAGTTCAAAACCAGCTGTGTGGAAAGGTTCAGGCCAGCCAGGCCCAGTGGTGTAACTCTTTACTAGGGAGGCAGAGGCCAGTCAATCTCTATGAGTTCAAGGCTAACCTGAAAGGCTGTCCTCCAAGCCCCCATGAGGTTTCCTGGGCTGTGCTGGACCGTTGTTTGGAGGCCCTCGTCAGAGAAGCACAGCTCTTCTCTTCCAGATGCTGGCCAGAGCTTGAGATACTTGTTGTGATCCCTTGGGCTCTGCACTCTCTCCGGAGCTCCCTCCCCATCATGTGGCTGACCTCTGTGTCATCTGAATTCCTGGCTCTTTACCTTCCCATTCTCCTGCGACGGGATCAGGGCACCTGGTGAGACTTCAGTGTCCCTGCCTACGGGCTTTTCTTTTTAAATTCTATTAAAATTGGCCTTGAGCTGGAAAAAGGGCAAAGAAAAGAAAGGCCTTCCTGAGTTACGTGAGACCCTATTTCTAAAATCCAAATAAATAAATAAATACATTAAGTGTTAGTTTTAACAAGGACTAATGCCATGCTCGGCAGGAGAGCACCTGCCCAGCATACACAGTGCCCTAGGTTCAATCCTAATACCAAAACCACACAGAAAAAAGCCCACAGCATCGTCTTGTCAGAGTCAGAGCACATTACAAGTGGGTCAATGTGAAGATAAGCAATAGAAAGTACAAGAGTTGCAGTATGCCAGTGCTATGGAGAGAGACCCTGTTTCAAAAAGCCAAAAGAGAAAAGTGTGGTAGTGAGAGGCTAGAGAGATGCTCGTGGCTAAGAGCACTTGTTCCTCTCGAGAGGATCTGGCTTTGCTTCCCAGAGCCACACAGTGCTTCACAATCCTCCACAACCCTGGTCCAGGGGAGTCCAATGCCCTCTTCTGGCCTCCACAAGTACAGATGCAGTGCATAGATATACATGCTGAAAAGCACATATAAAATAAATTGAGTAAATACTTTTTCAAAAGCAATTTTTAAAAGTGTAATAATGACTAACTTGGAGACATTTTAGAGTTGCAGCTGGTCCAGCAGGAGATGCTACTGGCATCTGTTAGAGGCCAGTCAGGGATGCTGCAAAATAACACAACACGAGAGTCAGCCCTTACCTCAACAACTGCTCACAACCCTGTGCTATTGCACTGTATTGAAACAGAGTGCTTAAATTATTCCAGCCCACTGGGAGGAAGGAGGGGAGAGAAAGCCGAGACTCACTGGATTAGTTGTTTTCAAACTTTACCATAAGCAGGAGTCACCCTGCAGGCCTGTGGAAATGCACATTTTGGTCTAGATCTAGCTCAGGCTGAAGTTGTACTCCAGCAAACTTGCAGGTGATTTGAGGACAGTCCATGAACTATACTCTCAATAAGGAGACCGAGATTAAGCCAGATGGTGGTGACTCACACCTTTAATCACTTTAAGCACTTGGGAGGCAGAGACAGGTAGATCTCAGTGAGTTCAAAACCAGCCAGGTCTACAAAGTAAGTATCAGGATAGCCAGGACTGTCCCACAGAGAACTGAATTGAGTCTGGTGGTGCAAACCTTTAATCCTAGCACTGGAGAGGCAGGGGCAACTGGATCTCTATGAGTTCGAGGTTATCTTCGACCTCACTATGTATAGTGAGACCCTGTCTCAAAACTAGAACAAAACAAAGTAGAATTTTAACTAAGCTGGGTATTGTAGGCCTTCTGAAATCCCAGCCCCTGGAAGTAGAGGCAGAAGAATCAGGAGGGTTCAAGGTCATCCTTGACTACATAAGAGAATTTCAAGTCTGAAGGTACAGGCTAAGATCCTGTCTCATATACTAATGATAATAATAGTAATAATAATTTGCTAGAAATCACATCATAGCAGTTATTGTTTCTAAGAAAATTGCTTGTGGGGATGGGAAATCCAAACTCTCAAAACAGTATAGGTTATTGTCATGGCCCTTGGTTATCTCCCAGGACTTAAAGGTAAGACCCTGTTCCTGAAGACACCATACATTTCTGCCACAGGACTTGGAGGAATCAAGCCAGAATTGTCCCAGAAACCTCTTTCCTGAGGACTGGCTCTCATAGCATTAGAAGATGTTGTGCACGAAATCAATAGTCTTGCCTGGTTGGTAAGCCTAAGAACCGCAATGAGCAACGCTGTAAGCCATCCCCAGTGGTGATATGGCCCTTTTCCCTTGGGAGTAGCCAACAGCTGTCTAATTGGATTTAAGGCCTGTTAGATAAGAGGGAATTCATGCTTGCTATAGCCAATCTGGCTAGAGAAGTCATACACCCCAAAAGAGAAACTATTGCTGTCATTTCCTAAATAAATATAGTCCTAAGTGGCTGTCCTTACATCCACAGGTCCATGCGGCACTCACCCATCTTCAAAGCAGCTTCTTTCTCTGCAGAGGAGGGCTACTGCCCACAGCTGGACAGAGTGCCGAGAACAGGGACGCAGGCCCAGATAAAACAGCTACAACACAATACCTGCACTTAGAACTCTTGGAACATTGCAGAAGAGGAGCCAGAAGACCAGAATAGTGTCTTCTCAACATGACAGGGAAGCTACACCCATGAAGTCTCAACAGTGGGATTGCCTAAGCAAGATCTGCATAACGACAACACCCAAGCACATAAAGTAAAACTAAAGGTTAAATTTCATCTTTTTCTTTAATAAAGAAACAACAGATACTTTTTAAAGTCCATTTATAAAACTAGATATGAGCCGGGCGTTGGTGGCACACCCCTTTAATCCCAGCACTTGGGAGGCAGAGGCAGGCGGATCTCTGTGAGTTCGAGGCCAGCCTGGTCTACTGATCGAGTTCCAGGACAGTCTCCAAAACAATACAGAGAAACCCTGTCTCGAAAAACCAAACCAAAACAAACAAACAAACAAAAAAAACACCGGGCGTTGGTGGCACACGCCTTTAATCCCAGCACTAGGGAGTTGGAGGCCAGCCTGGTCTACACAGCAAGTTCCAGGACAGCCTCCAAAACAATACAGAGAAACCCTGTCTCAAAAAAACAAAACAAAACAAAAAACTACATATGGTAAGTGGCACATGCTATAATCCCCACATTTGGGAGGTAGACACAGAAGGATCAAGAAATAAGGTCTTTCTTAGATACTTAGAAAGTTCCTAGCCTATCTGAGATATGTAAGACCTTGTCTTTTTTTTTTTTTTTTTTTTTTTGGTTTTTAAGACAGGGTTTCTCTGTATTGTTTTGGCGAGACCTTGACTTAATAACTAAATAAATAACATGACAGTTGAGTAAGACCCCGTATGCTACCTACACAGAAGGCTGGGACAAAACAAACCTGCAGACCTCCACACTAAAAAAATAAAATAAAATGAGAAAGCAGTGCTGGCCTGCAGCAGATGCCCAGGCTGGGAACTCATGGTCCTTTTACATTAGCCTCATAAGAGCTGGCATCTCAGACAGGCATGCCTAGCAATAACAAGGGCTGTTTAGTGTTGTGTGTGGGGAGTGTGAATATGACAAAATAAATTGTCTGTACATAACAATACAAACTTTTTTTTGTTTTTGTTTTTGTTTTTACGAGACAGGGTTTCTCTGTATTATTTTCGAGGCTGTCGGTCCAGCCCAGCCTCGAACTCACAGAGATCCGCCTGCCTCTGCCTCCCGAGTGCTGGGATTAAAGGCGTGCGCCACCATCACCCGGCTAACAATAGAAACTTTTAAAATGTCATTTTATAAATATCACCAATGTAAACAGTTCCAACTTTTTTCTATTGTACCAGGATATAAACAGTAAAGTTCCCTACCGTGTAGAAAGGTCTCACTTCTGGCTAAGAAGAAAGAGTGAGTCTGGAGGGGCATTGGTGGTACATGCCTTTAATCCCAGCACTTGGGAGGCAGAGGCAGGTGGATCTCTGTGAGTTCGAGGCCAGCCTGGTCTACAGAGTGAGTTCCAGGACAGCCTCCAAAACAATACAGAGTTGTCTCGAAAAACCAAAAAAAAAAAAAAAAAGAAGGAAAGAAAGAAAGAAAGGAAGTGAGTCTGCAAGCCATGAAATCCATGCTATACAGATTAGATTAGACCAGGGGTTAAGCTTCAAGGGCCTACATAATGCCTCTCCTCTCTCTCTCTCTCTCTCTCTCTCTCTCTCTCTCTCTCTCTCTCTCTCTCTCTCTCTCTCTCTCTCTCTCTCTCTCTCTCCCTCTCCCTCTCTCTCTCTCTCTCCCTCTCTCTCTCTCTCTCTGTGTGTGTGTGTGTGTGTGTGTTATCAGAAGAGGGTGTGTCAGACCCCCTGCAACTGGAGCTACAGGCTGTTGTGAGCTGTCTGATGTGTGTGTTAGGAGCTAAACTCAGGATCTCTGGAAAAGCAGCAAGTGCTGTTAACTACTGAGTTATCTATCTCTCCAGCCCCTCATCTATTCCAGCATTTGCAAAATGTTCCCAATGGCCTGAGTTTCCCAGAAGCCCTAAGCAGGCTGATCTGTGAGTTCGAGGCCACCCTGGTCTACTGAGAGAGTTCCAGGACAGCCAGGCTACACAGAGAAACCCTGTCTCAAACAAACAAACAAAAACTATATTAGGGTTCTCTAGAGTCACATAATTTATGAAACGAATCCCTCTGTCTGTCTTTCTGTCTGTCTGTCTGTCTCTCTCCATATATGTATATGGAAAGCAGGCTCGGTGGGGGAGTGGATTGCTGCAAGGTGAGGGCAGACGGAAGAACCTTGCTTCTTCCACTGGGGAGATGACTGTGTGGTTAAGAGCACTTCCTTTTCTTGTGGAGGACCTGGGGTTGGTTCCCACCATCTGTCTGGTGGCTCACACTATCTGTACTCCAGTTTCACAGGATCTGATGCCTTCCTCTGACTTTTCTGGCACTAGACACGGATGTGATGCAATGCATACATCCAGGCAAAGCACACACGCACAATAAATCTAGAAACAGTCAAAGCCACAGCCGTATTTACACCCAATGTACCTAGGTCATCTGGTTCCAAAACAGAACAGAACGTGTACACACACCAGTACCAGCTCTGCCTAGTGTCTGCGGATATGTGCATAGGCCTGGTAACTACTCCTAAGGATCCCCAGTAACCCATTTTACTTTGAGTAGACCTAAAAACATTTTCTACTCTACTTGAGAAGTAGAGGCAGGAGGATCAGGAGTTGAAGGCCAGTCTTGGCTATGTTCCAAGTTCAATATAAGACTGGTCTACAACAGAACATTGGCTCAAGAAAACTAAAACCAAGGGCTGGTCATGGTAGCAAATGCCTTTGATCTGAGCACTTGGGAGGTAGAAGTAGATGGAATTATATAAGTTCAAGTCCAGTGTGGTCTACAGAGTGAGTCCCAAGATAGCCACGGCTACATAGTGAGAGCTTGTCTCAAAAAACAAAACAAGCAAACAAAACCAAAACCAAAACAAAACCAAAACCTGTCCTACTGCCGGGGCGCACGCCTTTAATCCCAGCACTGCGGAGGCAGAGGCAGGCGGATCTCTGTGAGTTCGAGGCCGGGCTGGACCGATAGCCTCCAAAACAATACAGAGAAACCCTGTCTCCTAAAAACCAAAAAACAAAACAAAACAAAACAAAACAAAAAAAACCTGTCCTACTCCTATCTGCCCAGATTACTAAGAGTAAGGCCTGTTGTAATTGCCTTGTAATATAAGTATTTATCATTTCAGAATTGCCTTGTGAAAATACAAATGGTATTATATATTATTTAGGCATGTTTTCCCCTCAAAAGGTAATATACATTTTTTCTGAACCTTACTTGTTTTTTCAGTTAGTGAATTTTTATATTTATTTATTTATTGAGATTGGTCTATATAGCCCCAACAAGCTTGATACTTGGTATGTAGCTCAGGATAGGCTGGAACTGATGGCAATTTTTCTTACTAAACTTTTGGGTACTAGAGTTAGGGTCTATCAAATTGTGGTTACCATTCCATGGTTACTGAGGTATCCTGAATATCTTTGTTCTAGTTTTTTACTTATGTATTTATTTTTGTTGTGGGATATTTGGTCACACTGTGTGAAGATGTCTCTGGTTTACCTCACTTGCCTAAGACACCTTCTGATTGCTTTAGTAAAGAGCTGAGTGGTCAATAGGTAGGCAAGAGAAGATAGGTGGGACTTGTGAAGAGAGGAACCAGGGGAAGAATGTCTGACCAGTGAGACATGGAAGAAGTTGGACATTCTGTACTGAGAAGACTTAACAGCCATGCGGCAGACCACAGGTTAGTATAAATGGGTTGATCTAAGTTATAAGAGCTAGTTGGGAACAAGTCTAAGATAAGGCCAGGCCTTCTTACTTAATAAGAAGTCTCTGTGTTATTATTTGGGAGCTGACTGTCCAAAGAAACTTTGACTACATTTATTTATTTATTTATTTATTTATTTATTTATTTATTATTTCTAATTTTGTGTGTGTGTGTGTGTGTTGTGTATGTGTTGTGTGTGTGTGCTGTGTTTATGTGTATGTGGTATAGTGTGTGTTCTCCTGTGAAGGTCAGAGGATGACTTTGGGGAGCTGGTTTTTTCCTTCCACCATGAGGGTCCCAGGGATTGAACTCAGGTTGTTAGTTGGGCAGCAGGTCTTTCCCCATCGAGCCATGACACCAGCCCATGGGTTTGATTTTTGAAAGATCTTGCCTGGGGGTGGGGGATGGGGGGGTGGGCTGGTGGAGGGAGAAAGGGGAAATGGGATTGACATTTGAAGCATGCATGTTTCTAATTTAAATAAAAAACATACATTTAAAAAAAGAAGATCTTAGCCGGGTGCTGGTGGCGCACGCCTTTAATCCCAGCACTCGGGAGGCAGAGTCAGGCGGATCTCTGTGAGTTCGAGACCAGCCTGGTCTACCAAGTGAGTTCCAGGACAGGCTCCAAAACAATACAGAGAAACCCTGTCTCGAAAAACCAAAAAAAAAAAAAAAAAAAAAGATCTTGCCTATATCACAGGCTAGCTTTGGACTAGGTTGCCCAGGCATCCTGGACAGTGTTGTCTTCTTGCCTCGGACTTCCAAGTGACAGGATTACAAGAGAATTACATCATGCCAGGCTTTTAGGTATCCTGTTTCCCCTTGATTAGAGTGCATTGCTTTATCAGACGCTCTGTGATGACTAGCCTTGCTCGCGGATCGATTAGCACATGTGCAAATGCATCTGAGACGTAAATTCCTACGAGTGGCATTGTCAGGTCAAAGGGCATATGCATTAGTAATTTTGACAGATATTTCCAAGTTGGCCTCTACAGGGAGTAAATCAATTTTCATTCCCATCAGCATTAGGTGAGAACACCTGTTCTCCTCAGCATCTCAGCAGTCTAATAAACTGCTGGTAACTTGCCAATCTGAAGGATAAAAAAATGGCACCACCACATTCTTCCCATTAGAAGGAAGGTTGAGGTTTGGAGAGATGGCTCAGTGGTTAAGAGCACTGGCTGCTCTTCCAAAGGACCCTGGTTCAATTCCCAGGACTCACATGGCAGCTCACTACTGTCTGTAACTCCAGTTCCAGGGGGTCTGACACCTTCACACCAATGCACATAAAATAAAGTTAATTAAATTAAAAAAAGAAGAAGGAAAGTTGAGCATTTTGCCTTCAACTTATGAGGTTTTATTTCCTCCTTTTTTTTTGTTTCCGGTTTTTTTATGTTGTTTTTTTGTTTTTGTTTTTTGAGACAGGGTTTCTCTGTGGCTTTGGAGGTTGTCCTGGACTAACTCTTGTACATCAGTCTGATCTCGAACTCACAGAGATCCGCCTGCCTCTACCTCCCGAGTGCTAGAACTTAAGGTGTGTGCCACCAATGCCCAGTTTATTTCCTCCTTTCTGAACTCACAGCCTCAAGCTGGTTGTATTTTATTATTACTATTACTATTATTATTATTAATTTTTGTAATAGTAGTACTATTAAGACAAGGTCTCACCATGTAGCCCTGGCTGTCCTGGAACTCTGTAGACGAGGTTGACCTTGAACTCTTAGAGATCCACCTGTCTCTGCCTCCTGAGTGCTGTGTGCCACTAGGTTTAGCTTTTGTTGTTATTTTGGTTTGGTTTTTCGAGACAGGGTTTCTCTGTATTGTTTTGGAGGCTGTCCTGGAACTCGCTGTGTAGACCAGGCTGGCCTCGAACTCACAGAGATCCACCTGCCTCTGCCTCCCGAGTGCTGGGATTAAAGGCGTGTGCCACCACAGCAGAGCATGGCTTGTTTGTTTTTTCAAAGTCTGTATATGTGTGGGTCTTTGCATAGGTATGTACACTTGATCACAGGCCCAGGAGGCTAGAGGCTTCAAATGTTCATAGAGCTGGAGTCCTCAAGTTGTGAACCTCCCAGGGCTGGTGCTTGGACCAAACATGTCCTCTCCAAAAGAACTTGATTGGAAGCCAAATGACTTTGGACTTGTGGTGACTGTCCTGCTTCTGCCTCCGAAGGTCAGAGTCACCGTGCCTGACTTTTTTTGTTTGTTTGATGCAGGATCTTCTGTAACATAGAACTTGTTATGAAACTAGGTGACCTTGACCTTCTGTTTTCTGTTTAGTGTTTGTGCTTACAGGAATCCCTGGAGGACAGAGGTTGATATCTTTACATTCTTTTATTGCTCTCATGTGTGTGTGTGTGTGTGTGTGTGTGTGTCTGTCTGTCTGTCTGTCTGTCTTTATGGTTCTCCACTTGACTGCCTTGAGACAAGGTCTTTCACTGACCCTGAAACTTAACTTTCTGACTAAATTGGATAGCTAACAAGCTCTGGGGAGCAGCCTGTCTCTTCTCCCAGTATTGGTCGTGTGTGTGTGTGTGTGTGTGTGTGTGTGTGTGTGTGTGTGTGTCTGTGTGTGTGTGTGTGTGTGTGTGTGTGTGTCTGTGTGTGTCTGTGTATGACCCTGGGCTCACCAGAGTGTCTTAATTGCTTGTTTTCTTTCTTGCCCTTTCCAACTCTACATCAGTGTCTTTTATAGTTCTAATTAAAGGTTACAACCAAAGTTCTCCTGGGATTAAGAAATTGTGCTTGCCAGGTGGTGGTGGCGCACGCCTTTAATCCCAGCTCTTGGGAGGCAGAGGCAGGTGGATCTCTGGGAGTTTGAGGTCAATCTGGTCTACAGAGTGAGATCCAGGACAACCTCCAAAGCCACAGAGAAACCCTGTCTCAAAAAAAAAAAAAAAAAAAAAGAAAAGAAAAAAAAAAGGAAATAGTGTTTAGGGAAGGAATGAATGAGCGACCAGAATTTCACACGATTTATAGTTACTTTAGATTTACCACCTGCAGGTGGCTGTTGCCTTGACTGGCCTGGAACTCACAGGGTCTGCCTGCCTCTGCTGGGATTCACTGAGCAGTCACAGCACCCAGCAGGTGGCTGTTTTGAGGCAGGTCTCCTTACAGTGCCTTGGCTGGCCTGGAACTTTGTATGTAGACAAGACTTGCCTTGAACTCTTGCCTGCCTCTTCCTCCTGGGATTTCAAACATGTCCCATGACATCTGCCTTAATAATTCGTTAACTGTATAAAACTCAAAAGTGGGATGGTGGTGGTGCACACCTTTAGTCCCAGCACTAGGGAGGCAGAGGCAGGTGGATCTTTGTGAGTTCAAGGCCAGCCTGGTCTACAGAGAGAGTTCTAGGACAGCCTCCAAAGCTTCACAGAGAAACTATGTCTAAAACAAACAAGCAAACAAACAAATAAATATTTAAGCCAAAAACCAAAACAACAAAAATAAACACAAGGCTCATTGATAGGCTGTAAAGAGGAGAAAGAAAACCAGACTGAAGTACCATTCTTCTGGTGCTGTGTCTGGCACACTGTGGCAGACTCCTGCTTAGCCCTGTGTCTGGTCCCCGAAACAAAAATAACGGCGTGTTTCAAAATAAAATAAAAATTAAGACGCTGCTGCTGTAGGCCTGTAATTCCAGCTAATCAAGAGGCTCAGGTAGAATTTTGGCCTCGTTAGGCTACTGTGGATCCTCTCCTTCCACCAGGTGTGTTCTAGGTGGTCTAGCACCTTTATCTTCTCTGAACAATATTGTTCAAGGCTCCCAAAATGAACTCCACATATTGAGTCCCAGGAAAACCAGAACTGTTACACAAAGAAACCTTGTCTGGGAAAACAACACAAAAGTCTTAGTATGTGTTTCTGAGATTGATCTCAGGCCTTTACAAGTCTTTTTTGTTTTGTTTTTCCCCCCAAGACAGGTTCTCACTAGCCATCTGACTGGCAGGTCTGTGAGTGGAGGGTTAAAGGGGTGTGGAGGGTTAAAGGGGTGCGCCACACCTCAAGCGGGGGCCTCATAAGGCAAAATTCTACCGCTGACCTACATCCCAACCTCCTGTCACCTTTTTTGCTTTGCACATTTGTTTGTGTGGGGACTGAGGAGATGGCTCAATAGTTAGGAGCACTGCTTGCTCTTCCAAAGGACCCAGGTTCAATTCCCAGCACCCACGTGGCAGCTCACAATTGTCTGTAACTCCAGCTCCCTAGGATCTGAATTCTCATACAGGCGAACCTGCAGGCAAAACACCAATGCAAATGAAATTAGAACATTTATTTGTGTGTGTGTGTGTGTTTGTGTGTGCTCGTGTGCTTGTAACCCAGGTGACCTCTCTCTTTCCAGACTCCCTCTCAGTTCCTCTTATCTGGAGAAGCCCAAGCCAGCCTCCTACTTCCAATCCTCTTCCCTCAGCCTCTTCCAGGTTCTGGAACTACAGGTGTATACCACCCCGCCTGGAGACACGCGAGTATTTCTCTGACGATTTCATACGTGTCCATAGTGCGTTTTGATCTCTCTCCCCTTTCTCTTCTCCCTTTCCTTTCCCATCCCTGTCACTCCTTCCCCCGCCCAGTGCTTTCCCAGAGTCTTGACTTTGGTGTTGTTTTGTGACCCATTTAGTTTAACCTGGGCCACATATTCTGTCATGGGAGCCTGGTGGGGTCACCAGTGGCCCTGGATGTAACGACTGCTTTCCCAGAATCTGTGCACAGCACGTAGTTCAGCACAGAGGCGTGGGGCCTGAGCCCTCCCCCGCCCATGCCCGGCCATCGGCCTGTCCATTGGTGCAGAGCTAGGGCAGGCGCCTGGCTCTGTTAGCCCCTAACTGCTTGTCTGTATCTTGCCGAGAAGCTAGCCCTTCTCCCTAGCTACTGGTTTTTACATTCTTCCCATTCCTCTTCTGAAAAGGTCCCTGAGTTTTTGTTACTGTCATTGTTTGTTTTGTTTGTAGAGACTAGGTCTCACAGAGTTCTGGCCAGCCTGCCCAAGAATGACCTTGAACTCCTGATCCTCCTGCCTCTAACTCCCAAGAGCTTTGGTTATAGGTGTGTGCCAGTGCACCCAGTAAGACATACCTTTATTTAAACATTTTCTTCATTTTTTTATGTAAAAGACATACATATAACATAAATACATGTGGACTGAGACACACATGTATTTTACAAATACAAGTACGTTCATATATACACAGTGAAGACGGATGTAAATGTCACACAAATGTTAGCAACAGAACCCTGTGGCCGGACATGGAGCTCATAGGTTGCCCTTGCCCTTCCTCAGGACCACCACACTGCTCTCGTGTCTCCCTCCTGTGTACGTGCTCCGAGGTATGACCAACTGCTGGGGCCTTTGCCCCTCTGTATCTGCCTGCTCCTGCTGCTCCTGGCCCGGAGCTGAAGACAGCTTGCTTCCCAAGACTCCTGCTAGGTCTTTCAGAACTCCACAGACCTCGGACTCCCCGGCTTCTGCTTCCAGGAATGCCCTCACTCCAAGTTCAGAGAAAACAGAAGTCTTTAGAAGAAACTTCCCTGGCTTCCTGCTTCTACAGTAACACCCTTCCTTCCGCCGATGGAGCCGTTTTCCTACCTATCCTGGGCATCACGGCCGCAGCCCTCTTTCTATTAGGCTTCTCAATGCTAATGATCCCCTCTCCCCCAAGCCGGACTCTCTTGAGCTTACTAGTCTTTTTATTCTAATCATTTGGGGTGGATTTGTCCCCATGCGTGACAGGGTCAGAGGACAGTTTTGGAAGCTAGTGCTTGTCCCTGTACCTTATAGGCTCTGTGGGTCAGACCCACCAGTCCTCAAGCTGCTTCAAGAGACTTTACCCACTAAGTCATCTTGTTGGCTTCTGTTGTTTGAGACAAGGCCTCAATGTAGCCTGAGGCTGGCTGGAAACTCACCACAGAAATGGTGTTGTGTAGATCAGGCTGGTTTTGAACTCACAGATATCCTTGGAATCTGCCCCTGGATTGTTGGGGTTAAAGAAAGGGTGAGCAGCCTTCCTGGCCTCTTGTGTTTCAGGCTGACCTTGACCTCATCATGCAGAGGAGGCTCACGTGGAATTCCTGATCTTCTTGTCTCGGTCTCCCGATTGCTGGGATTACAGGTGTACACTTCTTTTTTGTTGTTGTTGTTTTTGTTTTTTGGTTTCTTTTTTGAGACAAGGTTTCTCTATATTGTTTTGGAGGCTGTCTGTAGGCCAGGCTGGCCTGGAACTCACAGAGATCCGTACAGGCGTACACTTCTGCACCAGGCTGGGTTTTTGGTTTTTGGAACAGTCTTGCTGTGAAGCTCTGGCTGGTCTCAAACTTTCAGATGTCCTCTGCTTCTTCCTCCATAGTGCTGAGTCATCATGCCCAACTCTCTTTGGTTTTGATTTTGAGATAAGCATCACGTAGCCCAGGCTGGCTCTGAACTCTTGGTCTTCCTGCCTCTTTAAATGTGCCCCTCTAGACAACTTGCACGTTCATTTTCCTTCTCTGTCAGCTAATGGGGTCCATCTCCTCATGTTAATCAACCATTAAATACTTTAATTTTATGAAATTTCTCTTCAAATGTTTTCCTTTACTTTGTTATGTATATTTTAGCCTAAGCATTTTGTTAGACAGGATTGCCCTATATAGTTCTGGGATGTCTGGAAACTAGCTCTGTAGAACAGGCTGGCCTCTAACTCTCAGGATCACCTGCCTCTGCCTCCTGAGTCGTGGGATTAAAGGTATGGCCACCACCACCAGGTTAAGCTAAACATTTTGTAAGAAGTAGGCATGTAGCGAAAAGATTTTGCTTGGGTTATCTCCTGATCCACACTGCCATGTGTACTTTTTGAAGAAAGTGATTTGTGCATATTAGTAAATCTTAGCAGCTACTGTGTATGGTGCCCTGTATGTGTGAATATGTATGTATATATATATATATGTGTGTGTGTGTATGTGTGTGTGTGTGTGTGCATTTAAATATTTGATATTGGAGATGAATTGAACCTATGACTTCACACATACTAAAGAGATACTCTACCTCTGAAATACATTTCCAGATCCCTGTTTGTTTATTTATTTAAAGAAAAATAAATATAGGTATATTCTACTTAGTTTTTATTGTCAACTTCACACACCTCGAGTCATCTGGGAAGACTCAAGCTGCTGAATTGCCTGGGTCAGATTGGTCCCTGGGCTTGTCTGTGAGATGTTGGCTTGACTGATGGCTGATGTGGGAGAACCCGCCCATCGTGGGCAGCTCCTTCCCTAGGAAGGTGAGCCTGTGATATTTAAAAAAAGCCAACGTAAAGAAAATTTTATTTACATTGCAATGCTAAATAATGGCCATCATCTAGGAGATGAGTTCCACTGGGCCATGGTAGAACCACACTGCACAGATACAGGAACAATAAAGCAATTCCTTTGTAATACAAAAAAAAAAAAAAGCCAACAAAGGCCGGGCATTGGTGACACACACCTTTAATCCCAGCACTGGGGAGGCAGAGGCAGGAGGATCTCTGTGAGTTGGAGGCCAGCCTGGTCTACAGAGCGAGTTCCCGGACAGCCTCCAAAACAATACAAGAAACCCTGTCTCGAACACCCCCCCAAAAAAGCCAACTTAGCATGAGCCAGTAAACAATGTTCCTCCATAGTTTCTACTCCAGATTCCTGCCCTGATGCCCTCCCTGAGGAGTCATGACCCAGAAGTAGTAGATGAAATTAAACCCTTTCCTCCCCAAGCTGCTTTTACTCAGTGCTTATCACAATAGCAATAGCAACAAAAGCTAAGTAAAAGAACTTTATTTTAATTCTATATTTATCTATTTATTTATTTTAAGATATGGTTTTTTTTTGTGTGTAGCCTTGAACGTCCTTGAACTCTGTAGACCAGGCTGGCCTTGAATTCACAGAAATCCACCTACCTCTGCCTCCTGAGTGCTGGGTTAAAGGTGTGTGCCACCACTGTCCAGCTATTTTTGTTTGTTTCTTTTGAGACAGGGTTAACTAAGTAAAGTTGTCTGGCCTGGAAGTCAAAATATGTAGACCAGGTTAGCCCCAAATTCATAGACATTTGTTTGCCTCTGCTTCCTGAGTGCTGGGATTAAAGGCACGTATCGCCGCACCTGACTTTGTTTTGTTTTAAAGAAAGGAAGCAGGTTTCTTAGTGCACAGCAAGGTTTGCAGTGACAGCAGCAGAAGAGCCACTGGCCTAAAAAGGAGTTTCCTGCCACGTTTCCCAGTGCCATCGGCAAAGTACTGTGCATTCACACCTGACACATTTGTTTAGGAATGACTGTCATTCTGCCTGTAGTTCACCGGCCACCAACCTGCTCCAAAGTCATACCACAGAGACTTCCTATTAGTTTTGAATGCTCAGTCTAGCTTAGGCTCATTTCTGGCTAGCTCTTTTTTGTTTGTTTGTTTTGTTTTTTGAGTCAGGGTTTCTCTGTGACTTTAGAAGCTGTCCTGGAGCCGTGCGTTGGTGGCGCACGCCTTTAATCCCAGCACTCGGGAGGCAGAGGCAGGCGGATCTCTGTGAGTTCGAGACCAGCCTGGTCTACAGAGTGAGTTCCAGGACAGCCTCCAAAGCCACAGAGAAACCCTGTCTCGAAAAAACCGAAAAAAAAAAAAAAAAAAAAAAGAAGAAGCTGTCCTGGAACCCACAGAGTTCTGCCTGCCTCTGCCTCCCGAGTGCTGGAATTAAAGGCGTGCGCCACCAATACCCGACTCAGTACTGCTTTTTCATGTGTTGAGATAAACAACAATCCAAAATTAGCACACAGAGCACCTTCTCTCTCTTTTTCTCGTTTGTGCATGTGTGGTGAGCATCCATAGGTATGTTTGCCTGTGTGTGCGCGTATGTCTGTGGAGGTCCCTCCCCCGTCACTCTCCCCCTCTGTCATTGAGTCAAGCTCTTCAAGTGAACTCAGACCTCATTAGCCAGGTGTTTTTGGGGAAGGGGGCAGTTCCTATTTCTGCCTTCTGAGTGCCTGAATTACAGAGGTGCTTCTGTGCCCACAGACATGTATATGAGCTCTGGCCAAACCAGGCCCCCTGTGTGCCCGAGGAGCCCTTCCTTTAATGACAGTCTCTCCTCAGTCCTGGGCTGGCTAGCCTGGAACTCACTGTCTCTGCCTCCCAAATGCCAGGATTGCAGGTTTTCAATACTAAGCTAAGCAAAAGCAACTTTCTAGATGTTGACCTATAGCTATAACCCTGGCACTTGAGAGGTAGAAACAGGCAGATGGGGAGTTCAAGGTCATCCTTAACTATACAGAAAGTTTGAAGCTAGCCTGAGCTATATGAGACCTCGTCTTTAAAAAAAAAAAACCAGCAGGGCAGAGGTGGTACATGCCTTTAATCCCAGTACTTGGGGTGGGGGTGGGGAGCAGAGGCAGATGGATCTCTGGGAATTCAAGCCAGCCAGAGCTATTACATAGAGAAATCTTGTTTAAAAAAAAAAAAACAACAAAACCCCAAAAACAAAACAAAATGAAACAAAAGTAACAACAAGAACAACAACAACAAAAAAACCCTAAACAATCCCACACCTCAACCACAGCAACAACATAAAAGAAAACCTTTTCTTTTTCTTTCATTTTTTAAAAATTAAAATTTTTTTTTTTTATCATTTGAGATGGGCTCTTGCTCTGCAGCTCTGGCTAGCTTGAACACTCAGAAACCTCCCTGTCTCTGCTGCTTAGTGCTGGGGGTTCGGGTTTGAGAACAGCTCTCTCAATGAAAAGATTTTATGGCATCACTGATATATTTGGCCCCTATAGAAACTGTAGAGCAACAACGAAGTGTGGCTACGCACTGTCTGGAATGTCAATGCTTGGGAGGTAGAAGCAAAACGATCAGGAAAGTCAGGGCCATCCTCAGCTACATAGTGTAATCATTGGGGGTCAGATGGAAAGGTATTCTGGCACTTGGGAGCCACAGAATATTAAGTGTTACAGCTCAGATGGAAAAGTATTCTGGCAATCGGAAGCCAAGGAATACACAGGTTACAGTAGTAGTTTACAGCCCTGCTCGTGGGAAAGACTTCCCCAGTGAAACAGCTCTGCTCCAGCAGTGGAGGGCTTCCCCAGCGAAGTCGTTACAGTTCAGCTGCCGTCCTATGGAGTGTAGTGTAACCACCCTGCTTTCAGTAGGGGACGGTTTCCCTACTCTCTCTACAGCTCTGCTCTACTCTGGCTCAGGGGAAAGTGTTACAGCTCTGCTCTACTCTGGCTCAGGGGAAAAGTTGTTACTTCTCTCCTCTGCTCCATTCTGGGGAAAGAAGTACTCACCTAAGTCTCATTCAAGAGATTTATTGGGAAGGAAGTATCCAGGAGAGTGGCTGCCTCTGCTAGGGTGGCAGAGGACAGCCTGAAGCTGAGCAGATGCGGGGTTAATACAGGGCTTCTTAGGGCCAGAGTTTTTCTAGGGAGATTTCCAGGGTGGGGATTAGTCAGATTTCAGTCCCTGAGATCAGATTGGCTAGATCTCATGCTCAGGGATTGGTTGGTTTTCTGCTCAGGGTTAGGGTCAGAGGCAGGTTTGGCTCTGGTTTCAGGACCAAAGTGTGTTTCTTTCACTGGTTATTTTTAGCCTTTTGGCTCTAATTTTAGTGTCAGGGTGTGTTTCTTTCACTGGCTCTGATTCTAGGGACAAAGTGTGTTTCTTTCTTTCTTTCTTTCTTTCTTTCTTTTTTTTCTGGTTTTTCGAGACAGGGTTTCTCTGTGGCTTTGGAGGCTGTCCTGGAACTAGCTCTTGTAGACCAGGCTGGCCTCTAATTCACAGAGATCCGCCTGCCTCTGCCTCAAAGTGTGTTTCTTTAGCAGTGATTTCAGGGTCAGGGTGCATTTCTTTGGCTCTGGGTACAGGGAAAAGTGTGTTTCTTTAGCTGGCCCTGTTTTCCCTGCATATAGCAAGTTTCAGCCCAGCCTGAGCTATGTGAGATTCTAACTCCAAAACGATAAAATAATAATAAATTTTAAAAAGGGAAAGAAGCAGAAAGAGAAAGAGACTAGTTGAAGGTCACGGTCCTTATCGACCCTGCCGCGTGCACCCCAGTAAGAAAGAAAGCGGGCTGGTGCTCTCATTCTTTCCCATGACCACATCTAGAATTCAAAGAAGAACTGTGCGCGCTTCTCCGAGGTGACTCCTAAACCCTGAGCCCGCTGAGTGGAGCCAATCCCACCCTTGCTGCAGACGCCCCTCCCAGAGCAGAGGTGGAGGTCCCTATTGTTCTCGGCTTCCTTTCTTCCTCCTCTCCCAGCCGCCTTAAGCCTCTGTCCTCTGCTCCCTGCCGTCTAAAAGGAGCCGGGGTTTTCCCTGCCCAGCCCGTTAGTTCACAGCACTTGCTGTTGCACCCCTATTTTTTAAAACTTCCTTTTCCCCAAAAAGAGCATTTCTGTAGTCCCTAGGGACTTTTCCAATTAAGAATAAACACTGGGATGCCAGCAGAGTGAAAGGATCTCCATACAGTGCCTTGTTTTTTTTTTAGACAGGGTCTCACCCTGTAGCTGAGGCTGTCCTGGAACATGATAGCCCCTGCCTTCACCTTAGAATACTGGTGTGTGC